CGGGGTAAACATTTTCTCCTTAAAAATGCTAGTGTCACGGGTTTCGCGAAGAAGCAAAACTTGAGGCGTAGCTTATATAGTCCTACTTTCCAAAAATGTTGAGGGGGAATAACCAGTGTTGCCAGATCCTCCACGATTTTGAAAACTCCTTATTTGCATAATTTTACCTAATTTTTTCTGAACTTTTCTGAACTTTTCCGGATTTTTTGAGAATTTTGAGATTTGAATGCTGGATTTTTGAGTTCAACATTTGCCAATCCTCAGAATAACTTATGAAATCACGCTTAAGATAGGATAAGTTTTATTTTGTAAAACACAATGCAAGACAATTTTTCGAACATTGGGAGGGTGTTACACCCCCGTCACCCCCCAGTCGGGGCACCTCTGATTATAAATGATCTATTGATCTGTTATATTCGGCGATTTTTATGAAATTTTACATAATTTCATTGATAATATTTTCCGATTAACTATATATTATAATTGAAATAGATTTAAACAACTATTTTATTTAATTATTACAAAAGAAAGATGAAGTTTATTCACAGCATACAAATTTACATAAGAAAGAATAGACAAATATTGTGATGTTTCTCTTTCTATTGAAAAAAAAGTTCTTTGTCTTGTTTCATAAAAACTGATCTGAATTGAAAGATGGTTTTTTTTCAGAAAACTATCGAACTTTTATATATGCTTATTGAATATTTATTAATAAACCATCAGTGAGAAAAAGTAAATCATTTACTCATTTGGAATGTTTTATTTTCATGAAAAATATTCAAAGAATTCTCAAAATATCACAATAGAATTGTGTAGCAATTCACTGTCTTAAATTTGTTCATTTTCATTTTTGTTATTCATTGTATTTTCTTGCTGAATGGCATGCGTTTCATGTTACATTTTTGTTAAATTTAAAAAGATAATTAATTGCTTTATAATGAATCTTTATCGTTGCCACTTAGATCGTTCGGTAACCATATCATTCGTTGACAAACTTTTGTCGACGGTCATTTTCGCCGACAAATTATTGTTGACATGATACTTGGTCGACGAATTTGCGTCGAAAAGTATTCCTGAATAAATAACAATATTCAAGAGCTTAAATCTAGGTTTTTATTTAACCACACAAAGAAGTGTGAACAATGTACGATATATATATATGTCGAAGTTGACTTTAAAATTTAAAAGTCAACTGGGATAGAGCGAGTTGACTTTAAAATGTAGAAACATAGTATTATTAGATCTCTTGTTTTGTATATTTTCCTATTAGATTCTCAAAATTTATATTTCCCTGGTGTATGACTTTGTTCAATGTTCACTTTTTTCTCAATCTCAACTTTATCTATTCAAAAAAACATGATGCTACGAGATAAATAAAAATTTACTATTTCACATTTTAAAGGCAACTGGATTTTAAAGTCAAGTCCAACATATATATAGAACGCATTTAATTAATAAACTAACAAATATGACTAACAACAAAATAGAGAAGGAGCAATTATTAAGAAGAAACTACTGTTTTCTTTTAGTTAACAATGTTTTTGCGATCAAAAGTAAGAAGTTTTGTCAGGGGCTGCGGAAGCAGGGGGTGTGGGGGAGTGTAACCCCTCCCCCTCCCCAAATAAATAGAAATTTTGAACTTTTTATCAATGAAAAAGAGACAATCGTATTTGTTTATTTCATAGTCTAATATTCAAAGAAAAGAAAAGAAAAAATACCAACAAACATATTGCATATGTTGTTTGATTACACATTTACATTGATTGTGCTTTACTAGGAATACGATTGAAACAAAAAATGATAGTAGTCTTTCATCAATTTAATTGAATCAAAGGGTCCCTGGTCGAACAATACGGTTTGTATACGACCGTATTTTTATCGTGTAAAATATACTTACGGCATGAATACAGCAAAATCACGGTAAAAATACGGTCGTAAAACACCGGCCTGGTTTGCGGCGAAAAACGGTACGTAAACGGTACAAATACGGTCGTATACGGCCCGTATCTGATGACCGTATCCACTCACCCGGGGTGTCGATAGTATTTGATCAATTTTCAAACTGAAATATGCAAGCTTATCCCTCACTTTTAATCTCTTTCTATTCACTGGTCGAAATTTCGTGCGCCAGTTTCTTTATAATTAAATCATATATCAGATTTCGAGTAATAATTTTTTACATAACTGGTTGACAAGAAAAAAACAGATGTCAACACAGATACAGATTCCTAACGATGCATCTGATGAAAATGATGTTCAGTGCTAACTATTCAACGTTACACTACCAACAATCTCGGTAGTCACATGGAGTGGGGGGTGGTAGTGAATGATAATCCACACCCACACCCACGCCCACAAGATTATAAGTCAAGATTCTTTTATTTTGAACTTCAGACAAGAATATTTTTCTTTCCTCTTAAAAAAAACCTTGCCTGAAATTCAAGACTAAAATTATCTTGACTGATAACCAAGAAAAACAACAATCTGGAAAGAATGATGTCAAGATCGTCGACTAGAGATATTTTGTATAGACAGAACTTACATGAAAATCAAATCAACACTATCTATTAGCGTCCTCCTCTCTTGAAATCAATATTCGACTGGATAATCTATCTAAGACTCAACAATCAATGGTATTCGTACATATATATATATATATGTAAAAAATGTTGTATATTAAGTTAATGAACTAAACGTTTATTGAAATAAGAAAGACTAAAGAAGAAAAGTAAACTAATGAAAAAAATAATCATAGAATAAAAAGAAAAAAAGAACAGACCAACTATGAACAACTTAATAACAAAAGACATATCTGCGTTGTTTTGTGTCCTAATCCAATACTGAAAAGCTGAGAAATAATATTCAAGCATGAGACTTAACACCGATGAAATCATAATTAGCTTTTCCGTTCATTCTGCAAATTCACGACGTTCTCTGCATACAGCTGCCATTAAAAAAAAGGCCGCAAGTATAAACGGTTACTGGAATAAATGTTTTTCCAAAACCTATTGCTCCTCCCCATAGTGAACACAAATTTAGCATGATAGAATATAAAAAGTTAATGTCAATTGCCCAGATCGATCAAAACGAACCACCGTAAACGGTCGTTTTTGCATCGTATTCCGCCGTAAAACAGCCGTTTTTAGCCGTATTAAGGCGTTTTAACAGGGTCAGTATTACGGCCGTACACGGACACCGTATATCAGCCGTAAAACCTCATAAAGCAGGCGTAACATTATCGTATTCTATAAAACATACGGCCGTATTACTGCCCCTGTTATACGGGGAAAATACAGCACGTAAAACGGGTCGTATTTGTATCGTATACGACCGTTTACTGATCGTTTTCTTCAACCGGGGTGGTTCATTACCATTTGGTGATCTTTTTTCACTTTTCAGATGTTGAACAAAAATATATAGACGAATATAAAAACCAAAGACCAACAGCGATGCATGAGTCCAATTGTAGTAGCTACTGCAAAATGATAAAAAAACAACGGATGTTTTTTTTATTGAACATTAAGAAAGAACTTACGTCGGTGACGGTATCAAAATTGTTTGCATTATTAATAACACTCACAGATACAAATCGATTTTTAAAGAACAAAATATGGTTATTAGATAGTTGACACCAAATACTTCGTGGTGTTACGTTCGAACTATTCAGTTGAAACGGTGTCACATGAGGATCGCCATCTATTCCACAATGTGGCAAAGCAGTTTGAGCTGTTAATTATTCAACTGATATTTTTGCGTCTATTTCAGAAAGTTCGTTTTTACCTGCAGTTTTCACAGTCATTACAACTAGAAATATGAGTGCAGCTGTAGTAAACATTGATAACGA